CCCCCCCCCGCCCTCTCTCTCTCTCAGCTCTAGCACGGAGATCTCGCCTGTTGCTCATGCTCCAACTCGCTTTCAGCCTACAATGGCACCCTCAAGCTGGCCTTCGCCCGGGTGATCCCGACGCTGAATGCCTTCCTCCAGCAGCCGAGCCCCGAGGCGGCCGAGGAGCAGGCCGCTGCTGGACGTGCCCAGCAATCCCCCTCGGCCTCCAATCGCTGGCGACATGTGGCCCTCCTGGTGCAGGCCTACGGTGTTGGTTTGCTGCAGCTGCACGAGACCGCCGAGGATGAGCCATTGCTGGCGGAGCTGGTCCTCACGCGGGGCATCCTCCCGGCGGTGCCCTATCTGGCCTGCCTGCCGGCCGAGAGCCAGCAGCTTCTGCAGCAGCTCCTGATCCTGTGGAGCCAGGGGTCCCTTTGGGCCGATGATGCCCCGGCCAACAAGGCCCCCGAGCCGTCCGGGTCCATGGAGTCCAGTGGGCCGATTCGCGAGGCAGCCTTCTTGGGCCTGCGTCAGCTGGCCCTGCGCGCGCCGTATCCCTTCTCCGAGGGGGTCATTTGGGGCGCGGTGGCGGCCTTCGCCCTGGGTGCCAGCCGGGACCCGGTGCGGGACAGCCTCCCGGCCGAGGCCCGGCGCTCGGTGGCCCTGGAGCGCTTCATGCTGGACTGCATCGGCGAGCTGGCCTCCATCGATCCGCACGCCTTCCAGGCATGCCTCTACTCGATGGCTCGAAAGCTGATGGGCCTGCTGCGGCTGGCCGTGCGCGGGTCGGCCCTGCGCACCGGTGCCGCCACTCCCACCAAGAGCGAGGATGTCTACCTGGTCACCTCTTCGGACCTGCGCCGGTATCTGTTCAACTGGCGGGTCATTGCCCTGTTCCAGGCGTGGGAGCGCGGCGTGTGTGGACTGCTGAACTTGTCGGCGGCCGGCGGCCCGGCGGGGCTGCTGGGCAACCCCGGCAATGAGCTCGTTCGCCGTCTGATTTTCCCCTTCGCGCAGATTGGCCTCGGCCTGGCCGGGCTGGGTCTGCACCTGGCTCAGTTCGACCCGGCGCGGATTCACCTGCTGCGTAGTCTGGCCGGTGTGTCGGCCGCCTCCGGGACGTTCATCCCTGTGGCCTCGGTTTTGGTGGATCTGCTGGCCCATGTGAAGGGCAACATTTCACCGGCCGAGGCCGCGGCCGCCGGGGAGCTGGGCCCCGGCCCGAACTGGGCTCGAGTCAGCTCGCTGAAGCGTTCTGGCACCGGGCTGGCTGGCACCCGGGAGGCCCCGGCTCGACTTGGCATCCATGTGCAATTTGCCAATGCCCTGGTGGAGCAGGTGGCCGATGTGTTGCTTCTGCACTTTACTCCGGTGGCCCGGCACATTGCCTTCCCGGAGCTGGTTGCTTCGCCAATCCTGCCCCAGCTGAACCACTTCATCGCGCGTGCCTCCCGGCGCGTGTCGAGCACGCGTCATCTTGTCCAGCTTGTCACCAAGGTACGCTTCCTGGTTGTCCTGTCCTGTCCTGTCCTGTCCTGTCCTGTCCTGTCCTGTCCTGTCCTGTCCTGTCCTGTCCTGCCCTGCCCTGCCCTGTACTGCCTTGCTTGCTCCCTGCGCCACTGTTTGCACTTGGTTCCCTTGTGTGGTCTATTGTTGCGCTTTGCGCGTTCCATCTGTTCTGCTCACCTCGTTCTCTTTTTTATCTCCAACCCCATCACCCTGTAGCTCGATGAGAACCGCGCCTACATCGAGCATAAGCGCGCTGCCTTCGACTACAACCCCAAGGATGTCGACAAGCTGGCGGCCTTCCTGCGGAATGAGCGCGCCGCCGAGTCGCCGCTCTTTGCTTATGGTCGTCTGCGTCGCTCGCAGCTGGCTGCTGAGCAAAACAAGCGCTCGCAGGCGGCTGCGGCCCCGAGTTCCAAGCGCGCGCGCCCTGCTCGCGGGGGTGTTCGCAAGGCCAAGGCCGGAAGGCCGGTGGCCAAGATGGCCAAGGTGGCTTCTGCCTAAGTGCACGAAGAGATGCCTTCGTCTTCCGCCTCTCGCATTTCCTTCTCTCGTCCCACTCTTCCCCCCTCCTCTCACTTTCCCAATGGGAGATGGGAGCCTTCTGCCTTCGCAGCCTCTCACGCCCTGCCTATTGCCTCCCTTCCTTCCTCTTGTTGTACATTCGTCATGGGAAAAAAAATAGACACTACTATGACCTCCCCTTTGCCTGGAAAGATGGACGCCGCCAACAGTAGCATCGTCAAGCAAAGCAGCATTATGACCTCAGCAGCAAGGTGTGTATTATCACATCCGGCAAATGGCACATGGGGGGCACAGCCGGGGGCAGACCATTGACAGGCAGGCAGGGCCCGGGCCCGGAGCACTCGATTCCGCTCAGAGGTTAGCCTCAGCCTCCAGGGTGGCGCGAATCTTCTCGGCCAGCTGCTTCAGCTCCTCGCCCTCCAGCGGCTTGACATTCCACTCCAGCTGCAGACCGGTGTTGGTGTCCGGACGGGGGATAATATGGAAGTGCACATGGTCCACGGCCTGGTGGGCCATGCGGCCGTTGTTCTGCAGGATGTTGTAGCTGACCAGCGGCTTGTCCGGGATCTCGCCACCGACGTTCGGGGTCTGGTGGAGGTTCAGCGCATGGACGATGCGCTTGGCCGCCGGGAGCAGCTCAGCCAGCTCCTCATCGGGCACCTCATGCATGAAGGTGGCGTGGGACTTGGGGATGACGAGCTGCACATATGTTGCGAGCGCAGGAACAGCCGGGGGAGCACAACAGGGAGAGAGAGCGAGCGAGAGAGAGCGAGCGAGAGAGAGAGAGAGCGAGAGAGAGAGCGAGAGAGAGAGGGGGGAGGAGCTGTGAGAAATGGAACGCCGACGTATATATATATATGTGCATGTGGGAAGGAGGGGTGTTATTGGGAGCGATGAGGCGAGGTCGACGCACAGCATGGCCCTTGGACAGGGGGTTAATGTCGAGGAAGGCGAAAACGCGGCTGGTCTCCAGAATGCGGTGGGAGGGAAGCTCACCGCGAATGATGCGACAGAAAATGCAGCCGGCAGACATCGTGACGGGAGAGAGGGGAGGAGGGAAGAATCGGGATGCGAGAGCGCGAACAGCACACTCGGAGCGGGGAGGGGGGGGGGGGCGGGAAGAGGGTGTGGTTTGCCCGGCCGAGACCGTGTCTCGTAGCACCAAACCCCTTTGTAAGTCCCGGCGACACTGTTGCCCCTTCCCCCCCCCCCCCCCCCCCCCCCCCCCCCCGTCGCGCTCCACACCCACAGGTGTTCCCCCCCCCGCGCCGGGATGTACGGTTGGGCGACCCCGACACACGGCCCATGCGTCGGCAGTTGTCGGCGCTTGCGATCGGTCCCCCGCCCACATGAATGCCGCTGGCTTGCTGCTCGCTCGGGGGACGGGCCCCGAGAGATCGCCTCCGCCCTGTTCACATACATCATTCCTCCTCCCCTCCCCCTCCCGCCCTTTGAGGCGTTTGACTTCGCGCCATGGGATTGTCCTCCGCATCGCCGCCGCCACCGCCGCCACCGCCCGAGCGCATTGCCCGAGGACATGTGGCTGCCGTCACGGCCGCCGTCCTCAGCCCGTTGCCCTCGCTGCCATACCTGTTCAGTGGGTACGTCCCTTGACCATCGGGGCTGGTCTGCCTGGCCACACATCCACCCGCATCCACCCGCATCCACCCGCATCCACATCTGCACCCCCCCCCCCCCCCCCCCCCCCCCCCCCCCCCCCCCCCCCCCCCCCCCCCCCCCCCCCCCCCCCCCCCCCCCCCCCCCCCCATCGCGCTCGCGCCCGCACAGCCATGGGCCTCCCTTCCGATGTGGGATAGAGTCTAACTTGGACCTTGCCACAGCGATGCGGCCGGGGCCCTGCGTGCCACCCACATCCATACCTACCGATCCGTGCACCTGACATCGGTCGGGGAACTGATGCGGCCGTTGCTTGCAGATCCCGAGCGCGCGGTCCCAACAAGCTTGAAGAACGTCGACACGAGCCAAAGTCATGGGCATTTCGCGGTGCTCGGCATTGGCTTGGCTGGCTTGCAGTTGGCCATCCAAACGCGCTTCGGGGATTTGCTCTTTCTCCAGCTATCTGACCGGCTGCTGGCCATTGGAGGCGATGCGAGCACAGTCGCGTCAGCCGGTGGTCCGCTGATGCCACTGCTCCCGACCGCCGGGTCTGAGCTGGACTTGCTTCTGCCTGAGCGCCTCCTGGCTGCGGCATACATCCTGCCAAATGTGTCATCGCTGAGCGGTGGCCTGGCGGCGGCCTCCTTTGCCTGTCCGACGAATGGGGCATCTCGCGCCCGATGCATCCTGCCCAGTGATGTCGATGGCCGCGAGGCTGGACCCACTGGTCGGCCCGAGTCCGATCGTGTTCTCCATGTGAAAGTCATCGAGTGGACTGCCCCAAATGGCAGGCTCCTTGCCGAGCCGGCCGCTACCTTGCCGGAGCTCGGCCTTCTGGAGCCCCAGCTGGCTGGCGCTCTGACAGTCACGGCTGTGGCCCCCGGCGAGGCGGCCCCACCGGAGGCGGCCCCTCGCCCGGCGGCCAACATCAGTCCTGCCTTTGCGCAGCTTCTGCAACATGCGCCTCTCACATCGCCCAGCGGGCCAGGTTCCATGCGTCCGATTGCCCTGGCCCCGAGCGGCCGGGATCCCGTGCCTCTGCCCGGAGCGCCGGTGGGTCTCATCGAGGCAGACCTCTTTTTCGAGCTGTCCTCCGGCGCCGGCCCCACGCGTCTGCCCATGGTGACCAGCACCCTGCTGACACCGCTGCCCGGGGCATCTGGCCAGCCGGATTTCCTGGCCCTCGGTCTGGAGGATGGTCGTATTTTGGCCGGGTTGCTGCGATCGAGCGCCGGGGGGCTGATGGTGTCGGACTTTGTCCTGTCAAAGCGACTACTCCAGGAGCCAGTCTTTGCGATGGCCTTCTCCACGGACCCGGGGGCTCCCGGCCGTTCGGGCATCCTCTCGCTGGCTGGCGTCGACAGCGCGGTGGTATGCCTACCTGTCGGCCTGTCGGCCTGTGGAGAGAGGCTCACGGTGCGCAAAGGCCCTTTTCTTTTGTCCCCCCCCCCCTCCCCCCCCACGCACACACACATCAACTCAGTCCTCTGCCCGTCCGTGCCGCGTCACTGACACCCGCGGCGCCCGCTGAAAGCTATCTGAGCGAGCTATTTCCACGCCGCTGCCATCCGGCGGGGTGGCCGCACTGGCCAGCCTGGAACTGCCCCCCCGTCGTCCGAGCACCGGGCGCGCCGCCAATGGGGTATGCCTCGGGGTAGCCTCGTGGGATGGATGTCTGCGGCTGCTGCGGGTACATGCTGGACACTTTACCTGCCGGCCCGTCGAGGGCAGCCCAGGCCTTCCGCCGGCACCGCCCTGCTTGTTGCCCCTCGCGGAGCTCCGCATGGAGCCAGAGCAGCCCCAGCAGTCACCCCTGTCGTGTCTCTCCTTGTCCGCATGGAGCGCCCCGGCTTCCCTGGCCAGTCCCGGCCCCTCCGACTTCGGGCTGGAGATCCCCCTGCCAGGCAGCTTGCGTGGGCCCGGCGCACCGGGCAGCCACAGCGCGCCTGGCGGCCGGATCCGAGCCGTGGCCGGCGCGCGGAATGGTACTCTCGGCATTTGGCGAGTATGCTAGGTGTGGGTGGGTGCGTGCGTCTATCGATCTCTGTCGCCCCTTTTCCCCGTGGAGTGGCTCACACCTAGCTCGAAAGGAAGAAAAAAAATACAGTAACTAGACAGCTGCACAGATGGCAACACCCTGTCGAGGGCCACGCACATATATGGATATACATATATATATATATTCAGACACAAGGGCAAGGGATGGGTTCGGAGGAGAGAGGGAGGCTCGACAGCTGGGTCGACGGGCAGGAGGGGGAAAAGGGGGGAGGGGGGAAGCAGCGGGGGGGGGGGCAGATGCAGCAGGCACGAAGGCCGCTCAATCGAGCATGGTGAACTCGCTGTTGTTGACCGACGCATAGGAGGGGATCTCCTCGGGGGAGAGGAGCCCATCGGCCAGAGGGCTATCGGCCCCGGTCGCCAGACGCGAGGGACCCCGGAGCCCGGGCTCCGGCCGCGAGAGCACCGTCGGCGAGGAGGCCGAGGACCCGTAGTCTGGCAGGGCGCTTGAGGGCGTGCGAGACCCTGGCGACTCGGCCGCCGGTCCGCCCCCGCCAAACAGCGACAAGAAGCTCGGGTAACTCCCGCCAGAGGGGACAGGCCCACCGGCAACCGATGACCCAGCCAGGGTGTTGATGGGCGGGAGGAGGCCCCCGCCAGCTCCAGCTCCAGCCCGGACATCTTCCTCATCATCATCATCATGGGCCAGGTACATGAAGTCCCGGAGACGGTCCTTGTCGCGCCCGGCATTGCCATGAGTCAGGGCGCCCGAGCGGCCGACACCGGGGCCACCACTGCTCAGGTGGTGATGGTCCTCATCATCGTCATTCTCATCATCGCCATAGTCACCGCCATAGTCGCTGCCACTGGAGTCGGAAAGGTCGCTCCCCGGGTCGCCGATGAACTTCTGCAGGATGGCCTGGCGGAAGCCGACAACACCAGTGCCGGACCGTGGCCGGACATTGGCGCCCCCGGGGCCGAGGGCCCCGCCGGCAACGCGCCCATCCCCGCCCAGAGTTCCATCGCCAAGGAGCCCGCCGGGGCCGGCGCCGGCCGTGGCCACCGTGCCGGCCAGCTCGTCATGCTGGTGGTGGAAGAGCGGCTGCGCCAGGAGCATGGGCGCATCGAAGTCATCGAGCGTGCCGGAATCGACGGCGGTCGACGTCAGCAGGGCATTCTCCCGACGCTGTTGCTCGCGCAGAGCCTGGCGCAGCTGGCGCCGGCGCCGGCGAACCATCCGATCGGCGCGCTGCTGCTCGGCCCGCATGCGGCGCTTTTCCAGCCGGCGAAGGCCCGCAGCCACGACCAGCAGCCCGGCGATGGCCAGCAGAACAGTCAGCACGGTCAGCAGGGAAATTTGCAGCACCGATAGGGCCGGCTCGCGGGCCACACTCAGCAGCACCATGCGCAGGGTGTCCGGCGAGCCGCCAGATCCCGAGCCACTGGCCGACAGGGCAGCACCGTCCTCCAGGACCGACCAGCTGAGCAGCGAGCAGACATCCTCCTGCAGGACGAGGAAGTCGCTGCACTTGCGGCAGAGCGCGTCACACCCCGTCAGGATGACATATTGCAGGTGTCCGACATAGGCCGCAAGCGAGTAATCCTGCGCCGGATGGGTGGGATTGGTGGTGTGGCCGGCATCCGAAGCGGCCGCGAGTGGGAAGGAAGAAGAAGAAGAGGAGGAGGAGAGGGAGGGGGAGGACCCATGGTCGGAGGTGCTCTCATCGTCGTTGCGGCTTTCATCGCGCCCCGGCGGGGGGAGGGTCCCCCGAGGTGGGAGGATGGATTCATGGGTGCGAGTGCAGAGGCCACTTGTTTGGTGCCAGACGCTGTGGCGGGCAGAGCGGCTGCAGTCGCGCGCCGGCGGGGCATCGGCATCCAGGGCGTCGACCGAGTGCGATGGGGCCGGCACCTGGTTGACGAAGGAGCGCAGCACCAGCGACGCCGGATCCACCTGCCAGGCCTTGACCGACAGGCCGAAGGAAAAGTTCATGCAATAGCCCAGGGTGCCGAAGCTGTGGACATTGCAGTGCTCGCAGGCCGAGTCCGAGCAGTGGAGACTGTAGTCAATGGTGCCAAACCCACGGCAGGGGGGAAGATCTTCCCCGGTGGCCGGGGGCTCGGTGTCGTCAAGGCGAATGCACTCGTCATCTGGGCGCCGCCGGACGAGGCTATAGGTGCCGGAGGACTCGTCGAAGGTGCACACCCCGTCCTCCAGGACCACGGGCATGGTTTGCGACACATCGCACTGGCTGTCCAGGATGGCCAAGATGTAGCACGGCCGGTCGGTGGTAGCCGGCGGCTCGGGGGCCGGGGTCGGGCTCGGGGCCGACGCGCTGTCGGAGCTGCTGGCCTCGCTGGCCGGCGTGTCGACGCATTCGAAGAATGACTGGAAGCGCAGGCCACAGGCATTGACCCGCTCGTCGCGACACTCGAACACCACAAACAGCTCCTCGGCCGGGGACCGGCCAAGTCCGGACCGGAAGCACTCGGTGGAGTTGGCCGCCGGGGCACCGGGCATCGACAGGATGGGAATCACGGAGAAGGGCCGGCCGCGAGCCCGGCGCTCATAGTTGTCCCGGTCCATGGGAAACGCCGCGAAGGACACATCCAGCAGGGTTTCCTCGGCCACATAGTACCCCACCAGGTGTTGCCCGGGTGCACAGGAGTAGGCCACCTCGTGGGACGTCTCGTATGACACCGGGCAGGAGAGCGAGAAGTCGCACTGGCACTGGGCGCATTGGCATGTCTGTCGCCGGGGAAGCCACTCCTGCTGGGCCCCAGGGAGGGGGGCTTCGGCCGGCTCGAGAGCCGGCCACGAGGGGGTCAGCTCGAGGAGCTCGGCCAGGCCCAGAGGGTGGGGAGCCAGCGACCGGTGCAGGCCGCCTCGGCGACCGGTGGCCAGGCCGGCATCCACCGCCGGCCCGCGTAGGACCGTCACTCGCGGGCGCAGGTGCTCCGGCACAAGGAGCCCGGAGGGTGGCATCGGGGCCACCAGGTCGCGCGGACGCCCCGGGCCTTGGGAGCGCGGGGGAATGTGCGCCTGCGCCATGCGGGCCACCAGGAGGATGGCCGCCAGGGCGAGGCAGAGCAGCCGAGCACTATTCATCAGGCGGGTGGCTCGTCGCCGCGTGCAGGTGGGTGGGCGTACTTCGGGGGGGG